CTACCCCCCCCTGCAGCGGCCGCCTCCTCCCGGAGGGCTCGGTGGGTAGGACGAAGGGAAGGAAGAGGACGAAGGGGCGTTGGGGAAGACGAATCCAGGGAGGAAGATGGGAAGGGCGCTTTCCCCCTTTTCCACCCTAGGCAGCTACACTAGGAAGAAAAGGGAAAGAAGAAGCGCCACATAATACGGCTGCTCTTCTGTGGTGCGGGGTTGCCAGGTCTCTCGAGGCTCCCTGGGAGGACCTGGAGGAGGAGGAGCCTGGTGGTAACTTGATCACCAAAGACGAGAAATCTAAATATTTTCGCTAGCCTGCTCTCTGTTACGCGATTGTTAACTTTTTTTCCCTGCATGTATGTGTATATGAGAGATGACCCTCAAAGTAGATTGCTCTTTTTTACATTTTCTCTAATAGCAGACTAAAAAAATAAAACGGGGAGAGATGAATATTTAATATTTTCCCAAAAGAGTTGAGAATGGGCCTTGAGGGAAAAGGCTTTGTCTCCCAAACTGTTTCCTGGATGCTCAGTGATCCCCCCTTCCCAGTTTTGTGTCCTCATCAAACCTCATCAAGGAGAAATATAGTACCTATTATAGGCCAAGAGGAAGAAATGTTGAAATTCACCCTGTGGCACCAACATTGCCATCAATATTGGAAATGGGGCAGATAATTTCACTACCCTCTTTTGCTCTCCCTCTCCCACCCTTTCTCAGGAATCCTAATGTGTGATATTGTGGCTCCACCCTAAGATGTGGAACTCTGATGAAGCATTTTGTTTCTTTCTATATTTTTGGCTGGATGTGGTTATTATTTAAGAATCTGCATGTTTTTTTAGTGCAAATCCTTAACATATTTACTCAGAATGAAGCCCCATTGTAATATTTACTGAATATTAATCTCAGGTGGCTGAACTTAGCAAAATTGTCTTAATGCAAGTGTTATTCTAAAATCTCAAGTATATTTATTCCTATCCTCGTGAGGTTGAAAATGTTTTTGTGCTTCTTATTAATGTTGAATATTTAGTATGTTATAGCTGTGTATTTACAGTCATTTGAATTGAGACTTTTTGTTTACTTGTAGATGATGATGGAAAGGAGATATACTCTTTACAGGATATTCTGTATTGCAGCCTTTCCTAATTAGCTACTTTTTAGATAGATTCAAACTACAGTTTCCCAGAATTTGTTTTGGGGTTTATGGTCCTAATACACATGGATGGCACTAGTTTCTGGAAGACTGCTGTAGATTATTAATAACTTTGCTTTATTATTAAAATTTTTGTGTAAATATAGACATCCAGCTTGTCATTACTTAATGCTGATGCAGAGTACTGGTAAAAATCACAAATTGAAACTGAGAGCCTTTCCTTTCAAAGTAAAACTCAGCCCTGAATTAATTTTGAGGCCTCAGTAAGGATAACTGTTTTGGCTTCAATCTGTGAAGTAATTCTTAAAGTACTAGTTTGCATGTCACTGAATTTGAATTTCTAGCATGTTTTCAGTTGTGATTTTGAGAGTCGCTCTAACTGTAGTGCCACAGCTTGGAAATTGGGACAACTGTAGCTAGAACCAGTA